AAAAAATTGTAGCATATTGTGACAGGAAATATGGATGATAAGCTAGAAAAGTTTGAAACTTGTATCTCTTTTAATCTTTTTTCATGCTGAGATGGTCTTTAATTAGAATTTCACAATTGGTCTGGATCACAATTGAAGGGATGTCATTTTAGGGAAAACAATGTAATCGTGTCAACCACCCCTAAATTTCCAGTTAAGGAAAATGTCACTTTTGAAACTTGGGTTTCAGCGGACTAGAGAGCAGGGCAATCGACTCAGTGTCCAAGAACGGTTGCTTGTTGCTACATAAATCGATTTGCCAATGCAGGAGTGGATGTTATTTGGTTGAGAAATGCCCTGGAACTATCCACACTTTTACCCTCCATGTGTTTTCTGTTGAAACTCTTGGACTCAATCCTTTCATAATTGTAAATCACCGACTCATGAGATTTCAGGGCTGCAAGGGACCTATATGATCCCTGAGTGTGATCCTGCATGACTTAGAGATTTACTGGCCTCCCCGCCAAGAGCAGCGAGTCGCGGGTCAGCCCTCACTGGTGGTGCACCCAGTGTGGGAACAGCAGGCTCTGCAGGCTGATGTCGCCCACCTTTCCCTGTGACACTGGCAGCCTTTCGCCCTAAAATGGCTCCAAGACCTTGTCTTTTTGTTGTGTTTTCCAAGTCCTTTATATTTCCATGACGGACTTATTTTTTACAGAGAAACATGTACTGCCACCCATGGCAAAGGTATATATTTATTACCAAACTGTGTTGATAAAACCACAGGCGGCCGGGTCTTGAACATGGCACCCTGTGCATCTCTCTGGGCCGAGGGTTACTGGAAGGATGGTGGATTCTCCTACTGCTCCTAGAGGGCGATTGGGTTTCGAGTGAAAAGCAATGTATACATGCAAGAGAGGCAGGGTCAAATTCATTGACCTCCAGAGCTCACTGCCTGCCACCAAACAGGTGTGACAAATGCTGGATATACCTGCTTACAGGGTCCCCACGCTCTCCCAGCCTCTGGGACCACCCCAGCCTTCTGGAGCCCTTTGTCGTTCTGAAATTTCAAAATGCTTAACTTACTGAATTCTCAGGTCCTCCAGGCATCACTGCAGGATAAAGACCTGGAAGAGTGGTAGATGTGGTGGTTCTGAGATTTATGGGAACATCCCTGAAGCCTAGAGCTTGGAAACCGCTGTGAGGACCCTGCCCTTGAGCTAAACGTAATCCCTTTTCTGGAATCCTTCATAGAGCTGTGCGCAGGAATTGAAGGAGAACATGTTTGCAAGGGAGAAGAATTGATTTTAATCATAAACCCTTTGAAATTTGGATACTCTCTCTGGCTCATTTTGGGTCTCCACTTCTGAAACACTGGCTACCAAGTCAGGGTCACCTGAACAGGTGATTCGTCCTGCCCAAGTACTACTGAGTTCTCAGAGTTTTTCTACCAAAGAAGCCTCTATTCAGCATGAGCCCTTTGACATGTGCTGATTGAATCACTGGGCTGACAGACAACTGAGGAATCGCCTGGCTGGCTTCTCCTTCATTCCCCTTTCTTTTTTGGCAAAGGGATCCCTGAGGGAAGTTAGCTATCTCAGGGTATCAGCAACTGCCAGCTAGCAGCGTGGACTCAGATGCAAGTCTTTTGAGAGACAGACCGTCTTCCCTCCATCCTCTTATATTATCCCTTGGTATTCGGAATGGGAATTTAGAAGCCCCCTTAACTGCCTTGCTGGATTAACCACCCGTTTGTCCCCCTCATGATGTAACTGACACCCACATAAAGCTGGGTGCTCCTGGCAACAGGCTTCTTTGCTGTTAACCTGTGACCCTCTGTTGTTTATTCTCCAGCTGCTCACCAAGAGGATGTGTTTGGATCTGTTAAAGCCATTTGTACTCATCATTGAAATGATGTGAGTTATGTGAATGTTACATAAACCATCATAATGTAACTGAGGCAAGAGAGAATGATTTCTGTGAGTTAGATGTTTTAGAAGGAACAGAGTGCTACAAAATAATGAATGTGAAAAGGTAGGGGAAATCAGCATTCAGAAGGAATCTGAAATCCCGATTTTACCGTAAGACCTGGCTCCCTTCAAAAGAAGGAGGATGGGTGTGATTCCTGGAAGACAACTTAGAACTCTAGTGGGGTCACCCACATTCGTGGAAAATCATCTGGGCCTCAAAATATTGGCATGACTCTAAGTCAGGAAAATGTACCATCTCAGTTTTTATCATTCAAGTTAAAATAATGTGTTCAAGGCTGAGATTCCCCTGGACTGGTCGTTCACCTAGTTGACCAGAGGGAGCCTTCACTTTCTCTCATCATCAGTAGAAGTCAGAAAACTATTGTCCGATGTCAATAACCAATGTAAAGAGTAACTGCTGCATTATTTATTGACATACAACATTGTGGAAGATAATAAGAGTGAAATGTTAATTATTTCCAACAAAAAGGAACAGGAAAATTGGGAACCAGTTTGAGGAGCTGTATATGTTCACCTTGGTAGTAATACTGAGATCTTTACATGGATTAATAAGTGGAACACTGGCTTTGGGAGGCAGGGAATCCCACTGAAATGTTACTGTTCAGCCTTCCAGAGCAACTTCTGTTAGCAGCACAAATGGGCAGTTGGGGAATTTTTGTAATCGCTCTGACAGGAGACATTTTAAAATTCTTTCCTGAAAGACAAATCTAAACCTCCACTTTATCTCCACTTTTCCCACCACAGGGATGCTTTGCTCATTTGTGGGGCCAACAGTAGGGTCCCCTTGGCTGCCTAAGGCCTCTTCTCTGTTCAGTTCCTCAAGGTGACCCCTCTGGACCAACAGCCTCTACAGTCACAACTTCGATGAAAAGGTCTCCCTGAGGAGGCGCGCCGTTTCCCAGTGGGCAGGGAATCACCAAAGTGATCACAATGGCTCCATCCCCTATCCGGCCAGTCTTTGCTAAATTTTGACAACATTCCTGTGATGGGCCCAGTTCTGTTGAAAACTAGGACCACCTTGGACCCCTCACACATCTCTGGTTCAGGGAGAACATCCCAGACAGGGCCCTAGTTTCTTGAAAGGTCATCTGGTGACCTTGTCTGGGAGCAGGCAGAGGAAACCACGACCCTTGACACCCCCAGTTCTTTGGAGCAGCCGGCCAGTGACTGGGGTGCTGGGAATCATGCAGAAGGCTGGTCGAGCCAATTCTAAATAATAACCACTCAAAGCTAATTACTAACAAAGACAAATTCCTGTCCTCCACAAGCTTGTTGAATCACTTTTAAGGTCACGTTTACTGTAAGTTACTTCTGGATTTAGAGCTAAATTTATTTAAATTACTTTGCTTACATGGAGGAGTGTCCTAATAAATTTTTTTTTCTGTTGCTCGTAAAATGTGAAATGGGTTTTTGCTCGTCAGGCTTCCTCTCTGGACCTTTTCTGGAAGTATTTGCTCATTTCTGCTTTGGTGCATTTAAAGACTGCATGAGCTCTGCTCCCGTAGTAATAGCACTGAGCTGTACGGAGAGATGTCAAGCACCTCACCCCTGATGGACTGACGGCAGTGGATGGTTATTCTGTGTCAGAGTCACCTCCCTTCAGCATGGGTTCAAGACTGTCTTCCACAATATGAGTGCAGCGAAACCCACTTTCCGAACATCTCGGCAAGTCGCTGCTCTGGTGCCTGGGATGCTTCAAGCAGGGCAGGCTTTCTCAGCCTTGGCACGACTGGCATTTGGGACCAGAGGACTCTGTTAGTGGGGGCTGTCCTCTGCTTTACAGGATGCTAGCACCACCCCTGGCCTCTACCTACCAGATGCCTGTAACATCTGCCCAGTTGTGACAGCTGAAAATGCCTCCCTCCAGACTTGACTGGACGTCCCCTGGAAGGCAAAATCGCTGTCTGTTGAGAACCGTTGGAGGGTGGTGTGCGAGAGTGACGTCCGCGCTTATGTCTGCCTCTTGGTTTCTTCTACTTGTTTCCAGACAGGGTCACCCGATGACCCAGCTCTGCTTTTGAAGAACCTAGGGCCCTGTCTGGGATGTTCTGCCGAGATGGGAGATGTGTGCTGGGTCTGAGGTTGTGTGGATCAAAGCTTTCTGCTGTGCTGAAGACATTTACAACTTCTCCCCGTCTCTCCCTTCTTGATGACAGGATGGTAACTTTGAAGACATTTTTAGAGGGTGCATTTGGGGAGAGATGGGAGTTTATTTACACATTTTTAGGTATGTAAGTATGCAGTTAGAATTGTTTTTGATTGTTTGGCAAATCAACTAAACTTGTTCTCCAGACTTAATTTTAAAAAACAAACTGAATCATAATAAGTCTTACTGCTCTCCTATTTTGTTTGTGAAAATTACATTTCTGAAAAGAAAAAAAAAAAAAAAGACTAGCCTCTCTGAAGGTTGTACCTTGTCTGAAAATCCTAAATTTTTGCCAAAAGCCTAACGTGGCTTTTGCCTGTCTAAAGTTTCTGCTGTACCCTTGATGATGTGAGTAATGTAAATAAACTTCAAATAATAAAAAGAAAAGAACAACAGCTGTAAGGGCTCTAGTTGGGATAATGTCCCAGGAGATACAAGTGCCCCAGTCCTTGTGAGTTCCCGAGAAATAAACCACACATTTGATGTGAGCGGCCTGAGCTCCTCCATGGTATTCCCGGCACATCCAGTGGTTTCCAGACTTTGATCTCTACCATCTGAGGAGTGCATATCTCAGCCTTCCAGGAACGCAAATGGCATTGCCCTTGGCTGTCGATTCCGAGGGAGCAAGCCATCCAACTACACCACTTTCTGAAACCACTGGGATGCATTTGCAAGGTCAGTGAGTTCGAGCTCTCTCTCATTCTGTGACGGTATGTCTGGGGTTGAGTATTTACGAAGTAGTTTAGGATTATGGTCAAGGAAGGTCCTTTACTTTTTGCCTGCTATAGTCATCCCAGCACGGCCCCAGGTGATTCTTGCATTCGTGGGTCAGCATCATTTGTCATTCATAATAAAAACGTGGGAGGAGGAGAATGTTGACATACCTATAGATAATGCATGCACTGTTCCTGCATGTGTCACAGTTAGCTGTGTCTTGCCCAGTCCGATATGAAAGCCTACAAGATAAGAACAGGAGAGCATTACAAGTGGTGGCTGGTGGTCGCTGGCTTTTGTAGAGCAAGACGCCTCAAAGCAGATGCTTTCCCAATGCCTGTTTGTGATGGTAATGGATACTGATGAATGTGTGTTTCCCATGTCTGTGCATTTATTGTATATATCCAGTGCAACATCGACAGCTAAGATGATGTTTAAATTCGATTTAGAAAGGGAATGTAAGTTACTAGATGAGGTAAATAATCTGATTTTGTTGGAAGTTGGAATTTGGGATGTTTCAGTGCAGCTCTATATTGATGGTGTCTCAAAAAAGTGTTGAGGGAAAGGCCACCCCAGATACGCTGGTTTGAAGGCTTCTTTTTGCCCCACCACCTCTCGGTTTGCTTGAGTACAGGACTGCAAAGCATGGGCCTTAGACCAGATTCCACCCTTGGCCTGATTTTGTCCAGCAAGCCAAGGGTGGATTTTATTTACATTTTTAAATGTTTGCAAAAATGATACTATTTGGGATGCATGAACATGAATGAAATTCAGATCTCAGTGTCCATAAATACTTAGATCATGACAACAAAAAATAGTGAACATTTTCACTTAAGTCCCTATATAATATCCTCGATTTTGCCTTTTGGTTTCCAAATTCCAAACACTCTTTATCCTCTGGCTCTATAGGGCAAGAAACACGTTCTCCCCGTGGTCACGTGTCCCACCGCTGTTGTCAGGCCTTGTGCTCTGCTTTATTCTCGAGGGAGTCCTGCCAGCCTTATGAGGCAGGATGGGTTTTTTGGGGGGGGTTTGGAGGGTCGGAGAGGGAGCAGTGCTAATTCTCTTCCGACTAAAGAATCACTAAAGAATCAACCTGAGAGTATGTTTCGGAGCACACTGTGGAAGGCTGTATGAGCCTGAAGGTCTGATGAGCGTGGCCTTCAACATTTCTCAGCTCTGTCACCACCAGGAAGTAGTGTGGGGATGGATTCCAGGTTTCTTCTAACCACATCAGCTTACCTTTCCTTTCTGATATTTTTAAGAGTCAGGCATATTTTTTCTGAATATAATTTTGTACCTGGGACAAATAAGATAACCAGAATCTGTTAAATTTGTGGCAGAAGAAAAGCTTCTCCCTCAAGTGAGTTTATACACAGTTTGGGGGCAAATTTACATTTATAGAGTCACTCAGTATAGTAATAGTGTGCACAGATGGTTTTCTGTCAACATTGATAGTCAATATTTGTATCACCTTCACTATGTAAACTTTTTGTATGCATCGTGGATTCTGAATTGAAAATAGCTTTTGTTTTCTTCATTATGTTTTGTGTTACATAAACATTTGACAAAAGGATTTCCCACTCACTGCTGTGTTGTTTCAGTGAGCTTTGGTAGACTCAGATTTGACCATTGAATTCTGTGCATTTTATTTATTAATCAGTGACCATATTCTGCCCAAAAGAGCTGCCAGCCGTGTCTGTGACCCACCATATTTGAGCCGGAATTGGCATCATAGTATCGACCTGCACCCACCATTGCATCCTCTATTGGGCCTCTCTGGATGCCCACATTTCGTGTTTCCCTCTCCCTGGGCTTTGTCTGTAGAGAGGCACAGTGAAGAGATGGCACCTTACACCCTCTCCTTTCTCTGCCCAGACATGGCCACTTTCTTCTTACACAATGTCAACGAGCCCTAAGAGTTCATTCCTCACGTACCTTCCCACCTGGCTCCAGTTTGTCAGACCCGTACCAGGCTTCCTCCATGGTCCTGACACTGACCGTCTCCATTTTCCCATGCTTCATATATAATATATAGATAAATGCCTTTCTGTATCCAGCTGATTCTGCTAGACCTTGGCCCTAGCCCATGTCCCAGCAATGGCATGTCTGATGTGGAAGGTGCTGTCCAACTACTAGGCTGGGCCGCATAGGAGTTACTGCTCTGCTGTTGTGTTGAACTGTGGTGTAATTACCACCAGTCAGGGGCGAGGATACATAAGCTGTCCGTGTGTGCCAGTCATATCCCAAAGTTTAGGCTTCATTAAAAGAAAGCAGATGAAACAAGGGCATTTCTTAGCCATTCTCTCAGGGGCCTTCTTTCTGGGTTGCCAGGAAAGTGTGAATCCCAAGCTCATAGAACCTTCCTGCCCTAGACCTCGGGATAAATTCCTGTCAGGCCTCATCAATACCAACACCCCTTCCTCGCCCAGTGGCATAGAGCTCCCCAGGGTCACATTGGAGCCTGAGTCCTCTCATTAATTATGCCATCCTCAGTTTAGAGAGGAGGATACGGTAACACTTCAGTCCAGGATCTCATTATTCTTGGACCCTGGGCTTCGGATGCTCTGTGATACCCTGCTTGTACCCGGGCCCCGTGTTCTGCACTACACGTGATCAGCAGTCTGGGATACTCAGGGAATCTGGCACTGACAGGACCGGGCTTCAGGCACCTGAAATGCATGAAAGGACTCTCTTCTAGGACCTTGGAGTTCTTCAGAATGGGCTTTTATTGAAAAGGCTCTATTCTTACCACCTTGTAAAAAGCACACTTTTTCTTTTTTACCCTGTTACAGTAAGCAAACAGTTATTAAGTGCTTACAAAGTGTTAGGCGTTGTTCTGGCTACTAAGGAGACATTTTTGAATAAGATAAAGAGTCCTTGTCCTCACAAAGGTTACAGTAAAGTGGGAGAGGCAGACAAACAGCACACATACACATAGCGGGGTGGGGAATGGAGGGGCGGATGAATGGAAGGATGGGTTGGTTTTGATGACGCCCTGTGTTAAGGAAGTGTTGTGAAGGAGTGGCTGGCACACTGAGGGCACAGTATCTGAAAGGAGACCTGAATGTCAATGAAAAAGCAGTTATCTAGAGACTCAGGGTAGAATATTGCGAGCAGAAACCATCGCCTTTGAACATCTTGCAGTGGGAATGATGTTGGCATGTTTGCAGGACAGAAAAACGGCCAGTGTAGCCAGAAGAGGTGGTGCATATGGGAGTGGAGGGAGGTGAGATCAGGTCATGTAAAATAAGAAGCTCTCTGGATGTTACTTTACGTTTCCTGGGAAGCCACATAAAGTGTTTTTTTCTAGCTGGATGAAAGAATGACCTAGAGACCACTTCCTCTCCACTCCTCCCCACCCCTCCTTCTGTGATAACACAGATTCACTGTCCTTTCTCCTGCTTTTTCCATTTACAACCCAGCCTAATGCGCTCCAGCCTGAGACGCAGTTCGGTTTGGCTGATGCCTCTTGATAAGCAGATGACTCATCATGTCTACTTTACATGGAGACAGGTTTTTTTTTTTTGTTTTTTGAAGCTTATTTTAAAGAAAAATGGGTGGTCAGTCATCTTTTCACCATGTCTGAGAAGTATTTTCAGGATCTCGTTGTCATGAACTTTGCTTGAAAGGCACTTCAACATGTTTCTAAGGTTTCATGTAGGCCTTTCTTTTGTTACAGGATTCAAATGTTTGGAGTCCATGAAGGTAGTTGCTAGAAATATAGAGGTCAAGGAGAGATGGATTTGTGGGTAAAATTTACAGTGTTGCCCTTCTGTCAGCTGGGTAAGTTACAGGCTACTCCCAGCAGCTAACTGTCCATCAAGGTACGCCCCTGAAGTTTTATTCAGCATGAGCCTGTTGGCAATGGAGGGCTCAAAGTATGTCATCCATTGTGCCTATTGCTTTGATAATTATTCTCGTTGTCCTCGGAGCTTCCAAGCTGTGGGGTTTGGCCTCACAGATAATTTTATGGTCACATTAATAATTGTGTTGCAGCATCTGAATGAGTGTGTTCTCCACATATCGATGAGACAGATAAATTCTTTCTACAGGACAGGACACGAAGTGCTGTTGTACGGAATTTCTCTGTTTTTGTCCTTCTCACTTGGAAACAAGTCATACAACCAATGCTTAGAATGATTATCTTTCTAGATTGCCACTGCCACTAAGAGGGACGGGCCAAATCTGGGCACTGCTTTAGCTTCTCCAGTGACAGTAGGGCTAGAAATATTTTGTAAGTTTGGAGAAGAGAGCTTAGATTATTGATGTAAAAGCTGCAGAGGAAGAACGTCTTAATCTAAAATGATATATTTTCTATCTTGCAAGTTAATTGCTACCGTGTAAAGCTCTCTTCCCTCTTGTTGTGAAGAGTTATACCTTATGTAGGTTTATGATCCTGGGCCTGTCACAATACCCAGCACACCCTGGGTGTTCGGTTAATATTAATTTGACCAAATAATACAGTCTCTGTGTTCTCATATTGAAGGTCAGTAGCAGACAAATGTAATGAGAAAACTCCAACTGAGTGCCAAAAGCATATGAAAAGTACATACTGTGAAAAGCTCTGGTCCTTCCCTTTACCTAATAAGAACCCCTTTGGACCCCAGTGATGAGCATGCTCATTGCAAATGTGGATTTGTAATGCACTGATCTTTGCAGCCCTCACTAGTTATGGCCCTACTACAGTCACTGGTATTTACCGGTCTTAAAAATGTGTAGAACCTGTATGTGGGGAGCCGAGAATCATCACACTCAGCACCACAGGCAGTGGCCAGAGCCCAACGTGCTGTCTTCAGTTCTTTTCTATTTGTTCTTTTGATCCCCTTGCCCCTCGCACCCCAGATCACAGTTCTGCCCCACAGACCAATTCCAGGGCCCTAAACCTCTCCTAGTTTGATGCTGCTTTGACACACATTGATCAGGGCAGGTCTCACGGCATGCTAAAGGAGACCAGACATGAGTCACGACATTAACAGGGACATTAACTGTATGAACTTTGTGGAAAGCACACGAAGGAAAAGGCATCATTCCAGATTTGTTAAAACAGAAGGGATAGCGACAAGCTAATTTTACAAGGTAGTTTTGGCAGAGTCCAGTTTTAGAGCCATTTCTATGCTTTGTGGGAAACCGGCTGCTTCATAAGACCTTGGTCTGCCTTAAAGAAAATAAATTGAGTGTTATTTGTGGAAGACAGTGAGGAACTCTAGTCAGGGCACCCTATTTAAAAACCATCGGAGCC